GGGAGAAAAGGACCTGGCAGAGGGTTCCAGCTCATTAATGCTACCTCAGAGGGTACAAGAGACCAAATCAGCAGTAATATTTTTAGACTGATTGTTAACTTTCTCCACTTTCACCCTTCTGTGCCAGCTCCTGTGGGTTTTACAGCTGAGTCACTGTTGGAATTTTCTGAAGCCTTCCCCAAGAGTACAAAGGCACCCAAGAGTGATGGCGGCAGCAGCAATGGCAGCAGGAGCCAGGCACCAGATGCCTGCACTGCAAGACACTGAGCTTGAGCTCAGCTCAGGGAGAGCCCAGGCCTGAGACATCATAGTCTGTCTAACAGGAGTAATCACGGGAAAAACCCAGACCAGGAGCCATTATTTCCAGCCCGAGACACAAGGCTGCACCTGGAACCCTTCTTCCCTATCCCAACCCTTGGTCCTGGGTTGCCTGCTCAAAATCTACCTAAAGGCATAAGAGGAGCACTCATTGCAGGTATAACACCGCTCTCTGCCTATGACCCCAACCCTGCAACTCTACAACACACCCCAACTCAGGCGGTGATCCTGCGAGTCTGAACTTCCTCCACCAACTCTGGATCCCACAGGTCCAAGGTGGTACCCGACATAGCCTTTCTCCCCGATCTTGATCACTGGACAAGTTTCATTAACAAGAAATGACATGCTCAAGTCCCAGGTAAGGTCAGCAATACTCGGTCCCTGGACCCAACCACCTCAACTTCTTTCTCACCTAGGAGGTACCACGTTGTCACACTGCTTCTCAGGCCTTCCCTCCTCTCTGCACTAATAGCTATTCTCCTCAGTAGACTACCTGACTCCATGACAGAATTCATGCTCCGGTGTATGAAAAAAACTTTCTGTAAATGCATCATCATGCCCTAAAAGCTATGAGGGCTCAGAGATACTGATCACTGAACAATCTGTCCGTCCAGATGATCAACACAAGTAAGAAGCAGAAGAGAAAGAGACTTTGTCTGAACTCTGTAGTTCAAACTTACCCGGAATTAACTCAGCACTCATCATTCACTCACTAAATACTTACTAAAAAGACAGGAGCCAGGCTCTGTGCTACATACTGGGAATATAAACAGTGAAGACTTGGGACAGCTGAGGTAGATTTGCAGGAGAACTTGTTTGGGCCCAGAAGTCCATGTTCCACAGAGAAGGAACCCAACCCTACTTTGAACGTTGCCTCAGAAAAGGTTATTTGGAAGCAGAGCAGCAGCAGAAGCAAAATGCTGAAGACTCCCCTCTCATCCCAGGCTGATTCAGCCTGCAGACCAATGGGGAGCCTATAAGTGACAAAGCACAGGGAACATACTCTTCACTGGTTAGGGCAGAAATCAAAGAGGGTGAACAGGTTAATCTCCAAGGGACTTCTAAGGAGAGTGGGAGGAAACAGGACATGTCCTCTGGCATCCTTAGACTGAGCGTCTGGTCTGCCCACTGGGCTTCTGCACAAGGCCTTCATTAGGAGTCCTTGTTTCCAGGTCCCCGAAAGTAGGTTCTCAGTCACCCCACTTCCTGCT